CTGCCTCTGCCTCCCGAGTGCTGGGATTAAAGCCTTGTTCTTTGTTTCCCACTGCCCAGCATGTGTTGTTGGGCCTGCGCTTTCAGGAGCTGTCTTGGGACCACACTTCCCCTGAGGAGGAGGAGCCTGTCCTGTGGCTAGAGTTTGATGGTGACAGTGAGGGCATGCCTGTCAACAAGTTACTGAGGATCTACTCCAAGCAGGTAGTGATGTGTGGTCATACACACTAGACAGAAAGGCTGGGTCCAGTGAATACCAAACCATGGGAGCTCTCGGGTGCCCAGGAAGGAGGTTGGAATGCTGCCCAGGGCCTGGGAACAGGGTGTCTGGCTTGGTGTCGGTTGGCCTGAGCAGCTCTGGTGAGCTCTGCACCTGTTCTGGGATCACTCCAGGGGTGGCAGCTGCAGGCTGTCCCTTGAGGGCCAGCCCATAATGTCTGCGCTGAGGAACAGGTGCAGAGAGAAGAGGCCCCGAGGGCCTGTGTTAAGGAGATATCCTTTCTTTCTGCCCACCACCCACCACCCATTCTTCCCCTCAGGCCACGTCAGAGCTGTCCCTGCTCTGAGCCTTTCTTGCCTCTCTTTCTTCTTTTAGTACATAGACTAATTGCAGGACTCCTATCTTTGAAAACACATGCCCTCTCCGTCTGGTCTTCCAAAAAATTGAATACCCAGATACCTACTAAGCAGCAAATAGAGACACAAGTTGTATTCAGCCCTTCACTGTGTAATGTGGCAGTCACTGAGGGTGGCTGCTTTTCACTAAACAACATATTTTAGATTCTTCCATATAGATTCCTCCATATTTCTCTTCTTTTTCCTTTCTTGCTTTCTGCTGCTGGGCAATGAAACCCACTGCATACACATTAGGCAAATCCTCTGTCACTGAGTGGCCCCCACCCCGAGGTCCCATTATCCCTTTTTATTGTTCAGTGGTCAGCTGCACAAGTGCACAGCTCACTTACCTGTTAAAGAGCATATGAGTTGTTCCCACTTTGACTTTGCCAATAAGCTACACCAAACATTTCTGCATAGGGTTTTATGTGGAAACAGACCCCCTTTTTTAAATTTTATGTGCATCAGTGTTTTGCGTGAGTGTGTGTCTGTGTGAGGGCTTTGGATCCTCTGGAACAGGAGTTACAGTCAGTTGTGAGCTGCCATGTGGGTGCTGGGGAATGAACCCAGGTCCTCTGGGAGAGCAACCAGTGCTCTTAACCACTGAGCCATCTCTCCAGCAATGCCCCCCACCCCTCCACCCCCACTTTTTTGTTTTCTTTCTGAGACAAGGTTTCTCTTTATAGCCCTGGTTGTCCTGGAACTTTCTCTCTAGACCAGGCTGGCCTCAAACTCAGAGATGGGCCTGCCTCTGCCTCTACCTCTGCCTCTGAATGCTAGATTAAAGGAATGTGCCACTAAGCCTGGCTGGCTTTTCCTTTTCTTTCCTTTTTTCTTTCTTTCTTCCTTTTTTTTTTTTTTTTGACAGGGTTTCTCTGCAGCTCTGGCTGTCCTGAAACTTGCTTTGTAGAATTGCTGACCTCAGATTCACAGAGATCTGCCTGCCTCTGCCTCCTGAGTGCTAGGATTACAGACATGAGCCACCGTGCCCTGTCTATGTGGTGCTGAGGAGTGTCCAGGGCTTCATGCATATTAGGAAAGCATTCTGTGATCTGAGCTACATCTCCAGCCTTGCTTTGGTTTCTTTGTTTTGTTTTGTTTTGTTTTTTAATGTACATTGGGGCTTTGCTTTCGTGTATGTCTGTGATGGTGTCAGATCCCTTGGAACTGGAGATACAGACAGCTGTGAACTTCCATGTGGTACTGGGAATTGAACTTGGGGTCCTTTGGAAGATCAGCCAACCTCCTGAGTGCTAGGATTACAGACATGAGCCACCGTGCCCTGTCTATGTGGTGCTGAGGAGTGTCCAGGGCTTCATGCATATTAGGAAAGCATTCTGTGATCTGAGCTACATCTCCAGCCTTGCTTTGGTTTCTTTGTTTTGTTTTGTTTTGTTTTTTAATGTACATTGGGGCTTTGCTTTCGTGTATGTCTGTGATAGTGTCAGATCCCCTGGAACTGGAGATACAGACAGCTGTGAACTGCCATGTGGTACTGGGAATTGAACTTGGGTCCTTTGGAAGATCAGCCAGTGCTCTTAACCCCTGAGCCATCTTTCCACCTCCCTGGTGTTTTTTTTTT